GCGGGGGCTGCTGGGACCCAAGGGCCACCCAGCGAAGTCGGGGGTAGAGGCAGGGCGAGCAGCTGTCCCCCGTGCTGGCGCTGGTCCACGCTCTGTGGTGGACCAGGGGATGTTTCCCTGCAGGGGCACAGTTAAGAACCGGGGTTTGCTGGGGAAACGATGGCTGCTGCAGCCGGGAGGGCCGGGGTGGAGCAGATCCTGTGCTTGATGCCCCAATTTTTCCCCAAAGCTACAGGTGTGACTGCAACCCAGGCTGGAGTGGGACAAACTGCGACATTAACAATAACGAGTGTGAATCCAATCCCTGCATGAACGGTGGCACCTGCAAGGACATGACCAGCGGCTACATCTGCACCTGCAGGGAGGGCTTCAGCGGTAAGGGTGCAGCCGGGGACGCTGCCCCGTTCCCCTGGTGCTGGGGCCTGGGTGGGAGCTGTGGGTGAGCGTCTCCGTGATGCTGGGTGGGCTGGAGGCTTTGCTGTGGGGTGGTGGAGACCCCGGGTCTGGTTGGGAGATGTGGCAGTGCTGCCAGCCTGGGGACCTTCAGCAGAGATCGGGCACCCATGGCTGGAGCTGAGAACAGGAGGCTCTTCCAGGGCGATGCGTGGGCCATTGCCGTGGCCACCGTGTCCCAGCTGTGTCTTCAGCCCCCTCCCACCAGCACACCTCCATCACAGCAGCTTTTATCTATTTTTCTTAACACAGGACCCAACTGCCAGACCAATATCAACGAATGCGCTTCCAACCCTTGCCTGAACCAGGGCACGTGCATCGACGACGTTGCCGGCTATACCTGCAACTGCCTCCTGCCCTACACAGGTGAGGGGGAGCGCCCCGTGCCCCCAGGCCCTCAGTGGGGCTCTGCAGGGCTGCTCAGCAGCTTTTATCTATTTTTCTTAACACAGGACCCAACTGCCAGACCAATATCAACGAATGCGCTTCCAACCCTTGCCTGAACCAGGGCACGTGCATCGACGACGTTGCCGGCTATACCTGCAACTGCCTCCTGCCCTACACAGGTGAGGGGGAGCGCCCCGTGCCCCCAGGCCCTCAGTGGGGCTCTGCAGGGCTGCTGCTTCAGGTGTGACAGCAAAGCGGTCCCTCAGCACGTGTGACGAGCCAGCACCAAGCATGGAGGCTTCCCTTGTGCTGCCCTGCCGTGGGGCTGCCCGCGGCCGCGCTCCCCCTCCC